CCCTTTCGCTAACGATGTTTCCCCCAATCCTCTCCACCTCCCATTCCTCGACCACAGATCCCGAATTTGATTGAACTCCAATTAATCGAGGCTATACTATTCACAACGTTTGCGTTTCACTTAATCGAAGCCTCCGCTATCTAATTAAAAGCGCGAATCCATCGGCATCCGGTTAACAATTCAACCTCCTCCCTTTTTAAAACTAATTTTAATTCTATCAGGGCTTATGGTAATTTAATATCTCTTTCTATTTAATTCGAATTCGAAAGCTTTCTAGTTCGTTAGAATTCGGTTGAATGCATTTTAAAGGGCTTGTTCGATACATTTCATACAATTACAGATAAAATAAACGATATACAATTTATCGCATTCGCCTAGAAGGAAATGTTTAAAATTATTCATATTAATCGATCGACGAAAATATAAAATTCGAAAAAAGTTTTCCTTTCTTTTAAAACGAGGAAATTTTAATTCTATCATTATGGCAATTTAATATCTCCTTTTATTTTATTTAATTCGAATTCGAATTCCCTCTCTAATTCGTTAAAATCCGTTTGAATGGATTTTAAAGGGTTCTTCGTTCACCGAGAAGAAAATGTAAAATTATTTCTATTAATCGATTGAAAAAGAAGAAATTAGTGACAGTTTTAAAGAGCTTCTGAAGAAGATTAGGACATTAAAATAGATTTCTTCTCGACCATGACGTCTTTCTTGAATCCAATAGTTCAAGAAAATTGCATTTTCTGTTTCGGTAAAACAGAATCCACCCTTATCAACGAAATAATTTTATCAGATTGATCAATCTTTGCGACGAAGATAAAATGCGATTCGGAAAAATGGCGGATGGAGTGAAAAAAATATTGCAGGTGCGGTGTTATTCGTACGGCCAATGAGAAAAGCGGAACACGTGACCATGCTGGATCCTTTTCAAGAGAGATACGGTGCCGGTGTTGGGGGGCTCTTGTTCCTCCCTGCCCTCTTCAGCGATTTGTTCTGGTGTGGCGGGGTGTTGAGAGCTTTGGGAAGCTCGTTGGCAGTGGTTGCTGGCGTAAATCCGGACATCAGCATAGTCGCCTCTGCCCTCTTGGCAGCCGTGTGAGTAAAACTTGGTTTTTGTCCGTTTTGGGTAATTTTGAAAAAAAAAAAAAAAAAGAGAGAGAAAATTAGAAATTATAAGCGAAAAAAAATTTTTATGATATACTTTGTAATTAAAAAAGAAAAGAAAAAAAAATAAGTCAAATTAAAGATATCTGTGAATTGCAGATACACCGTGTTCGGTGGACTTTACTCCGTCGCGTGCACCGATGCGTTGCAGCTGGCATGCATCGTGATCGGGTTGGGATTGGCTGCGCCATTTTCCGTTCTCCACCCCGCCGTCAACTTCGAGAAAAATCTAACGCCGCACGAATGGCTTGGGGAGATTAAGAACGAGGATCTTGGCGAGTGGGTGGATTGCATGCTGTTGTTGGTATTTGGCGGTATACCTTGGCAGGTATATTGAATACTCGTCAAGATAATTCTGATCTATATGACGCGTGAATCTACACGAGCGTGCGAACTTTCGTTTGGTTTGGTGAAAGATTGTTTCAAGGGAGAGGGGGCAAAGAATGAAAGGAAAAAAAAAAAAAAAAAAAAAAAGAAAGAAAAATATCGATTAGTTCGTTCGAAAATCGGTAATTACGAATCTGGTTACAATATTAAAAGATTTCACAATGATCCAGGGCTACTTTCAAAGGATCCTAAGTATGCGAAGCACATCGATGGCGACCGCTTTGTCAATAACATCGATGTTCGGTTGCATGATCCTCGCGTTTCCATCAGCTCTAATTGGCGTGGTGGCACGTGCCACCGATTGGTCAACCGTGCAGGGATTTAACAAAAGTATAATAGCGCACGAAGCGAATGCAGCATTACCGATCGTTCTCCGATACTTGACACCGCAGTGGGTCTCCTTTGTCGGTAAGTGTAGAACCCTCTGTGACCATTTCGAAAGCTAAAACAACCGTTCCCCCCTCCCTCCCTTGCTCCCCGATAGTTTTCTCGACCTCCTTTCCACGAGACGCTCAGGCTTACCTTCGATTCCCTTCAAGCTCCAAATGACAAACATTCAGAAGTGTATCTCGAGTGTGTTTCTCTTTCACGCGTTTTGTCTGAAATCTCGCGAACAGCAGCGAGCCTGTTTTCTTCGCCTACAACCATCTGACCCTCTTTTCTCACCCTCCGCATAAAGCGCACACTCTCTCTCCGTACCAGCAAGGCACACCTCGAACATTAGTCACTTAAGCAACCGCGAAACAGGTCGAGTGTCTGTAAAGAATAAAAATTCAAGTAGTGATACACGGGCTTTCGAAGAGTTTGCACATTCTTATCGACTGCTTCGCTTTGTAAAATAAAGTTTAAGCTTAAGTTAAGGAAAGAGAGATAAAAGAGATTTTTGCATGACTTTAATTTAAAAATCGGGAATCTATCGAAATCTAATCGAATATTAAATAAATGTATTTCACGCTTATCAATAGCGCAATTTTCGATATTGATCTATTAGGTCTGGGCGCTATTTCCGCGGCAGTAATGTCTTCGGCGGATTCAAGTATATTGGCCAGCAGTTCCATGTTCTCCAGAAATGTCTACAGACTGACACTAAGGCCGAAGGTTAATCCTAAAAAAATGATTTATTTATTTCTTATTTAAAATAAGATTTTTAATTTTTATGACAAAATCGAAAATATTCAAAATGTTGTCTGAATGAAGATTCGAAAGAACGAGAACAATGGTAAAGCTTTTTCCTTTTTTTATAACACAGGCATCCGAAAGGGAACTGAATTGGATACTCCGAATATCCGTGCTTGTGATCACAGCCTTGTCGACTGTAATAGCGCTCACGGTGGACAGTGTTTATTATCTGTCGTGAGTAGTAATACGCTCAGTTTATCGACTCATCGATTAATGATCAATTAAACAGATCAACTAATTCATCTGGTTTTTTTTTTTTTTTTTAAGGTATTTGG